ACAGCCCAAGTAACACATTCACTACCTTGAAGGCCCAAAGTGAACAACCTGCGACAAAATATTAACATTCAATTCCTTATTGCCCAAAAGGTTGATTATGTAACAAAGGTGTCATATGCAAGCAATGCTGCATACCAATAGGACATAATATAAACAAGTAGTAAAGAGGAAATTGCACAAGAAAAAAATATATATATATGAAAAGCACATGGTAGAAATATGAGGACATTAAAGAGCTTTAGAATGATGAAATTTAGGACAAATAAGGGTTCGTATAATTTTTTCCTACTCAAAGTTGACTGCAGTGTGTGTGCAGTATCAGGACAACACCGTTCTTTGGCCACTTGGCTTCCTCCTAAGAAGCTTAGAGCTCTTTGCAGAGACAAAGGTACACTTCTCACACTTATTATCTCTTCCTATTGCTTCCTGCTGCATCAAGATCATTCTTGTTTGACTCAAGCTCACTGGCTCAACGGTGGTTGTCGTTGCGGTGAGATTGAAGGGTTTGATTATGGCTTGGGTTTTGGCAAAGTTTTGCTTTGGAAAATCCTTACCATAAGACGCTTCTGCCTCTCTTTCTCCGGCGTCAAAGTAATCTACTCCAACGACTGTTTCTGGATTTAACCTTGGTCTCTTCCTATTCTTTTTTCTTTTTTCTGGTTCTTTCTCTTTGCTGTTAATAAGACACCTTGAGGGTGTGATAAGATCGATTCTGGAGGTTGCAATGGTTCCTCAATTGCTCACTGTAGGAGAGGTGGTTTGCCCATGGTCTGGCAGAGGTCTTACATTCAGAGTCGATGATAGAAGTATTTAACAGAGAAGAATGGCTCCGATCATGTCTGGTTGGACGCTTCAACAGGGACGCACGCAGTATCACGAAGATTGCTTCGTGGGCCTCAACGCTTGGAAGGTGGAGTGTGGGGTCGAGGTCACCTCTCTGTCAGATTTTTTGCTTCTGTTTCGCCTTCCATCTTGGTAGGTGGCAGAGAGGGTGTTCAAAAATGGCAGAAGGGAGTTGGGGGATGCCTATCTCATGCTCGATGTTTGGGCATATCGTGTGGGGTGCTCCGGCATCTTGAAGAAGCTAGAGAATGCCAGATTCTGGTGTATGGCCTTCCGCTACACCTGTGGTGTGACTCTGTTTGAAGCTATAGGCAAGAAGTGTGGTGGATTCAAAGGGGTTGAAATGGATGAGATAAATGACACGGGGAAGCTTGTTATCATGGTGATAGAGGGTGGCCCATCGCAGAGCTCTCCTTTTCATTTTACGAACATGTGGCTTATGGCGGAGGACTTCCAGGGGAAAGTGCAATCTTGGTGGGAGGAGGCTACGGTGTTTGGTACCCCGAGCTTCATTTTGGCAGCAATGCTCTGTTTTCTAAAGACTTAGATTAAAAGGTGGAATAAGGAGGTGTTTAGGAATTTTGAGTAGAGGAAGAATAGGGCTCTTTCAAAGATTGCAGAGATTGATCAGTTGGAGGGGATGGGTGGTGTTAAGAAGGTTTCGAGGCTTAGGAGGGCGGAGTGCCAGGCGGAGATTTTGGAGATAGCTATTTCAAGGAGATCTCGTGGCACCAAAAATCTTGAGCCTTATGGCTTAAGGATGGTGACAGAAACATGAGGTTCTTCCATAGGCTTGCCAATGCCCATAGGAGGGGCAACCACATCAAAAGGATTCGTGTGGATGGGGTGGAGTTGTGTAGGGAGGAGGAGGTGTGTACGGGGATTGCTTCCAGAGATTGTACACGGAGACCTACAGTTGGAGACCCCAACTTGGGGGGCCTCATTTTAGTCGATATCAGAGTTGGATAGGGATGGGTTGGAGAGTCCTTTCCAGAAGAGGAAGTGTTGATTGCATTGAATAGTTGTAATGGGGATAAAGCTCCAGGTCCAAATGGATTTACTATGAGGTTCCCGCTGCAAAACTGGGATGTGGTTAGGGGAGAGGTGATTGGCACCTTTCATGCTTTTCATTCCCATGGGCACTTCGAGAAATCTTTGAATGCGTCTTTTATTGCCCTCATCCCTAAGAAGGGTGGAGCTTGTGATGTTAGGGACTTTAGACCTATTAGTTTGGTGGGTTGCATCTATAAACTAATAGCTAAGATCCTAGCTTTGAGATTGAGGGATGTCTTGGATGGAGTCCCAGAATGCATTAGTTGGGGGTCAACAGATTCTCGATTTAGCTCTTATTACAAGTGAGTGTGTGGATTCTAGGATGAATAGTGATGCCCCAAGTGTTCTTTGTAAGCATGATATTCAGAAATCTTATGATCACATCAGTTGGAGCTTCTTGCTTTATCTGTTGGAGAGGATAGGGCTCGGGGAGAGATGGAGGAGATGGATTAAGTCCTGCATTTCTTCTGTGAGGTTCTCGGTTCTGATGAGCAGGCCTCCGACTGGTTTCTTTAACAGTTTGAGAGGTTTGAGAGAGCATGATCCTCTATCTCCTTTTTTGTTCATTAGTGTCATGGAGGCTCTCAGATGGGGAGGACAGTGGAGCTGGGCTTTATTAGGGGTTTTAGGGTAGGAAGGGATGCTGCTCATCAGTTCGAGATTTCTCATTTGTTGTTTGTCGATGATACTTTGATTTTTTGCGATGCTGATGTATCCTAGATGAGATAGTTGAGGTGTGTTTTGATTTGCTTTCAGACAGTCTCTGATCTGAAAGTCTATGTTGGGAAATGTGCTTTGGTTCCTATGGGGGAGGTTCAAGACATTTGTCTCTCGCTGCAGTCCTTGGGTGTGGGGTTAGTTCTTTCCCAATTTCTTGTTTGGGATTGCCTTTGGGGTGTCCGTCGAGGAGGATAGGGGTTGGGTTCTAGTGGTTGAGCTGTTTGAGGGGAGACTTGCCGGTTCAAAGAAGCAATATCTTTCCAAGGGTGGGAAAGTCACCTTGATGAAGAGCACATTGTTCAGTCTTCCTACATACTTCCTCTCTCTTTCAGATTCCTCCCTATACTTCCTCTCTCCTTTAGAATCCTCCCTTGGTGGCTCGAAAGATTAAGAGGCTTCAAAGGAATTTCTTATGAAGCAGTTTGGGGGAGGAGTTCAAGTATCATCTTGTCTGCAGTGAGCAGATATGTAGGCCGATTAAATCGGGTGGTCTACGAATTAGGAGGTTGATGCCCTTTATAGGGCTCTCCTTGGCAAGTGGTTGTGGAGACTTGGTGTTAAGTGCCAGACTTTGGAGGAGGTTATCTAGTGCCATTTTTGGGGAGGGGGGAGAGAGGTGGGTGGTGCTCCCTCGCAATTAGGATCCCATGAGGTGTTGGTGTTTGGAAATTCAGAGCTCGAGATGGCAAAGCCATTCTTTTTTGGGAGGATTTATGGTGTGGTGATCACCCTTTGGCTTGTTCTTTTCCTAGTGTCACAGGCCTAGAGTTTCTCCACTACTTCAGCCACACCCGTGCGGCACTAAGGCGTTGTACCTACTTGCAACAAGATCTTGGTCAACCTAACTCCCACACTCACTAGTGCCAACGCACTCCACTCGTGTTGTAGTGTCTCACGCCCTCCACTCGGCTTACACACTCACACACACTTGGGCACTTTGGTTGGCAAGAGGAATTAGTACTTCTATTACAACTCAAAGAAGTGTACAAGGCTCTCTCACTTCAGAGATTGTTGGTTACAAATAACTTCATCACCTATTTATAAGCATCCTCATTACCTACTAGACTCTTTACACAAATATCTACAACACTACAAAACTCCCAACTCTCTCAGAACGTTCTATACTTCTCTACATATTTACGGGTTCTCCTATATTCTAGAATATTCCAACTCTCAACAATACACCACAACTCTCTACACAATCCTGGAAGACTATAATTCTAATATACTACACTCTTCTAGTGCTCGCGTAACATGGAGACGCCTCCTCAGAACTCGCTTGTTGCCGAGGTGGCGTAACCTCCCTGTAATTAGGCAGGGTGTGACATTCTCCCCCACCAAATTCCTAAGATGCCCAATCACGACGCTCGTCCTGCAAACTCGTCCAGGAACCCTTCCACTTGACGAGGACTCTTGCCACATGTCTCCTCCGTATGCGACTCATCTCTGCACTTCCTTCCTCGCCCGGGCACTTTCAGCTTACAACGTCTCTCGGCGCCGAACAACCCTTGCCTTCGACGCGTAGCTCAACCACCTATGCTTGCCACGACTCTTTGTGACATGTTGTCCCTCTTCACACCCTCCACTGGCAAGGTGTACCACTCCTCTACCTGCTCTACCAAGGTCGAGGTCGTCCGCTGCCCGCATGTCCTGCATTACTCCAATGGACTTCCCCTCCAGTTCTCCAACACACTCCATGAGCACCTCCACGCTCATTATCTTCTCATCTTCAGAGTTACCCATAAGCTCCTTAGTGGGTGGCAAGGACTTCCTCGCACAGCATGGTCTCGCCTCCCACGCCTAGTACGATGCTGTCATCCGCTGGCAGCTCTCCCGTGCACTCCTGCACATCGATTTCATCTACAAGAAGCTCCTCCTCAAGCCCGCATATGGGTGGCAAGCTTTCCTCCTTGCTTTGCATGGTCCCACTCAACATGCCTTCCCCCCTAGGGGCGGAGCCAGGATTATGCATTCCAAATTGGGAAAGTAAAATTAAATTTTAAAAATAAAATAATTGTAATACTCCCTCCGTCCCACAAAAAATGACCCTTTTCGGAAATCTAACTTTTTAAGGTGATGACTTTTAGTGTTTTTCATTGTATTGGTAGAGAATGAATTACTAATTTACTCATAGTGGGTCCACAATGATGTGATAGTTTCCTTTTTATAAACTCAATGCAAGAAGGTTAAATTGGTAATGCTACAAAAAAAAAAAAAAAAAAAAAATACATGGACTTTTCAATTGGGACATTTATTTTGAGACAGCTAAAAATGGAAAGGTGGACATTTTTTGTGGGATGGAGGGAGTAAATTTTTTTTTCCCAATGCATTTTCTATGTATATATTTAGTAACATGTCTAAATAATATGAGAAGAAAAATGGAGATAAGAATAGTTGGTAGACGTTAAATGAGGTTGTAAGTGTAAAACATGCTTTTGCTTCTCGTTTAGTTCATAACAAATAATATACATGTATATGAATAGAATTATAAGAAAAAAGATATATATAGAGAGAGAGTGTTCTAATATATATGTTGTAGGTAGCAAGGATTACAATAATAATTATCACATTTTATACTAAATTTAAATTTTTAATAGCAAGACAAAAGGTTCATTCAAACCACCTTTAATAACCAATAGGTATTTTTAAAACATTTTGAGGGGGCCAACTTTAGTTTTTCTATACAAAATCATCATGATTAGCCATAAATAAATAGTATTAATAGGGTTTCCACAAAAATTTGGGGGGTTATGGCCCCCCCTCACCCACCCCTCCCTTTGTCCCTACTTCCCTCTCTTGGTCGTCCTCTCACGGCTCTCTCATGCACTCATGCACAATGGGCACGAACTCTGGAAACGCCTCCTTCCTTGGAGCTTACTAGCTTGGCCATCTCAAGGCACTCTAGCACACTATGTGCCCAATCACACCAAAGGCAACTCCATTGCACAGGCAATCTCCCAATTGATGATTGCCGTCCTACCGAAGACAACTCCATAGATAGCGCTCCTGCTTTAGACGTGTCTGCAGAGCAATCTCTCCCAGCTATGATTGTCGTCACACCAGGTGCACTCCTCTGCTTGGTCCTCACTCCTCTACCACCAACTTGACAAAGGAACTCCTCTTTAGCGTGACGACTCTGTGACTATAGCTTGAATGACTCCCCTTGAGTATCGACTTACCGAGCCTTCTGCTAGTGCGGCTTTTCATCTCTTCACTATGTAGTTCCCTCTACACTCGCCCAATGGATAGGGTTCCTCCTTGGAGGCACCTCGAGTCACCTCCTCGCGTCATCTCCCCAAAGCTTGCCCTTATCGCTTCCCCAGGCGCCTTCACACGCGCACGTAATATGTTCTGATACCAACTATCACGGGCCTAGAGTTTCTCCATTACTCCAGCCACACCCATGCAGCACACCTACTCGCGACAAGACCTTGGTCAGCCTAACTCCCACACTCACTCGTGCCAATGCAGTCCACTCGTGTTGTAGTGTCTCACGCCCTTCACTCGACTTACTCACTCACATACACTTGGGCACTTTGGCTGGTAAAAGGAATAAGTACTTCTATTACTACTCAAAGAAGTGTACAAGGCTCTCTCACTCCAAAGCTTGTTGGTTACAAATGATTCCATCACCTATTTAATATTTATAGGCATCCTCACTACCTACTAGAACTCTCTACACAAATATTTAAAACATTACAAAACTCCTTGCACTTCTAGAACGTTCTATCCTTCTCTACATATGTACAAGTTCTCCCATGTTCTAGAATATTCCAGCTCTCTCTACGATACTCCATAACTCTCTACACAATCCTGGAAGACTCTAGAATTCTACTATACTTTACTTTTCTCAGTGCTCGTGTGCCATGGAGACGCCTCCTAAGCACTCACTTGTCGCCTGTGTGGAGTAACCTCCTTGTAATTAGGCGGGGCATGACACTAGGCTCTTCAGGATTGCCGTTGATAGAAATGCCATGGTTTCCGACTGTTATCGACTTGATAATGGGAGGACAACTAGGGATATGCATTTCTCAAGGGAGATTTAATGTGCGTTCATTGTTTTGATGTCTCTCGAACTTCTCACAGACTCATTTCCCGTGGAAGGCAGATTGGCGTCCTAAGGCTCCGCTCAAGGTGGCTTTCTTTGCTTGGACAACGGATGCCTTGTAAAGCTTTAGCCAACTCCCTCCTATGGAAAAGTTGGACCCTATGTCAATAGCCATATGACCACCAGAATGTTAGACAGGGTGCTCATAAAGTATAAACCTTCTGGATTCAGCAGAAAGAAGACTCCTTAATCGGGTAGTTCCCCTCCTGTATTAAGAGGAAGCCTATCCCTTCTCTCTCTTTCCCAATCTTCATGGTGAAAAGCAAGCCTGCTTGGTGGCATATTATCCACACGATTACCACTTCCGAGCAGAAGAGTCTACTGAAGGCTTTTTTCGCTTTAGTGTTTAGTTGAGTTTAGAGCGAAACCCTCGCTGCCCCCTTCTTTTCTTATTCCATTTGATTTTCGTCACAGAAAAGAAAGAAAGGAGATAGGGAATGATCAGATTACTCGCATCCCATTCTGCCCGGTGAACGAGCCTCATTACGACCGAGCTATTCAATACACCATGGAGATGCTTAATAGTCAGACTTTACAAGCTAATTCAACATCTGAGAACGTAAGTGAATCCACGACAGTGCCCTTATCTAAGTCATTCTTGCCCACTTTCGTTGCTATCCTTATCCCCGCGGTTTGGGGAAAGATTTTGACGCTTGATAACCTGAGAAGGATAAGACTGGTCATGGTCAATTGGTGTTGCATGTGCAAGAGCAATAGAGAGCCAGTTGATCATCTCATTTCGCAATGTTTAGTGGCTTACGACTATTGGGGTCTTCTTTTTGGTTTGTTTGGGGTTCAATGGGTCATGCCTCGATCTTCGAGAGGCTTGATTGATGCTTGGAGAGGGTGCTATGTGCAGTGTTATTAAAGGCGCTAGGCGCATTGAGGCACTAGAGTTCCCTTGGAGCCTAGGCACGAGGCGCACACCTAAGTGATGTGAGGCACACAAGTAAAAATTTAAAACAATAATTCTCAACAAAAAGAACACAATTAAACAATAAACATCCAGTAATAAAAATATTATATATATCACAATTAAACCAGTAAAGCAACCAGCAAAATAGCACAATTAAAACAATAAAGCTCCATTAAGAAAAACAGCAAATGGAAGATATTTAGTTTCAGTTTTGAGTCATAAAACCAAACAATCTTAAGGGACCTAAAAAATTCAGCAAACAACATTCAGTAAACAGCATGCAGCAAGATGCATTCAACATTTCAAATAATCTAGCAAAATCCAGCAAACAACATTCAACAGAACTTAGCAAACTGCATTCAAAAAAATTCCAAAAAATAAAAATAAAAAAAAATAAAAAATAAAAAAATTTGGAAGCAGGAATGGTAAATTCATTCTGGAAAATGCATTCAAAATAATTCAGCAAAATACATCCAGATAATTCAGGAAGGAAAAAAAAAAGAACCAGGAACTTTTAAACTCATGCCACTAAGGCCCCCAAACAGTAAAACGACATGAAAATGCAGCTGGCATCACTCCAGAGCAACTGAGAACAAAGCAAATCAAGACATACTAAGAAGTTGTCTGGCTAATCCCTTTTCTTTTCTTTAATTTATTCTTTTATTACACAAGAAGACACAGTTCACTGCAACAAACTACTTGGCTACTCCCTTTTCTTTTCTTTTCTTTATTTGATTCTTTTATTGCACAAGAAGACACAGTTCACTGCAACAAACTACTCACTTTTCTTTCTTTCTCTGCTTTTGGTCTTTCTTTATTTGTTCCACTCTCTCACATTTCTATGTTGTATCCATCTTTATTTGACCATTGCTTTTCTTTTCTTTATTTTATTTTTTTATTGCACAAGAAGACAAATTTACAAAAGCTCCTTTTTATTCCAGCACGTGGCAAAAGTTGAACAGAACAAAAAAATAATTACAAAACAACTCAAGAGGAAATAAGTGATCAGGGCGCGCCTGAGTAAAAGTATGAGGCGCATCCCAGGCGCGCGCCTAAATGCCTAATGAAGGTCGCTGCGCCTGGGCTATCACGAGGCGCAATTCATGCGCCTATAGGCGCCTAGAGCCTAGGGGCGCTCCTTTAATAACACTGGCTATGTGGGATCCCAAGCCCATGATTTTTGGAGGTTGGCACCCTTTATGCGTTTGGTGGTGCCTATGGAGGGAGCGCAATAAAAGATCCTTTGATAGAGTGGAATTTTTTATTGGGGCTTTAAATTTTCTTATTATCAGCTCTCTTTTTAGTTGGGTTATGGGGAAAACTGTAAACAGAACCCTCACGACGCTCAGCGTCGCTTATGGTTAGGTTCCTTAGGTCCTTAGGGTCCCTCTTGGCCTAGGCCTTTGTAAAGTTTGTGCTATATGTTCCCCTCTTCAAACTATTACTAATACATTTTAACTTAATTAAAAAATAAAAAGTGTGTGCAGTTCTACTCACCATGCATTGCACCACTGTGGCACATAATGAGTATCATCTAAATTGACAATAATGAAAGCTAAAAAAAGAAACAGTTCAATGAACGTCAATCAAGAAATCACCTCATCAAAAGAAATCCACAATAAAAGGAACAATAACAACAACAATGAAAGAAAGAATAAGACAAGGAAAAAATAACCAAGAGAGGCATAATGATACGAAACATAACCCACAACTTAAAAGCTCTAGAGTGAAAAGGCATAAAAATTCATAATCATCATACTTTTTCGGTAGTAGAACTCCAAAGTAGGAAAAAAATGGGTCGAAATCCAAGGTGAGAAAAACATTATATTACTGAAATCTTTAATATCAAAAGGTTAAGTAGGAGCTAGCAGCTCATAGGTACGTATTACCGGCATACTTCACAGAGGCATGGGGTGTCATCTAAAAACAACTGATCCACAATTATTTCAATCAATCCACTTTTTGAGACTATCTGCTTCCTGGAAGCATCATGGCATGCAAGGTTCCCAATGATTCCAAGGCTAATCTCCTGAAGAAACAAAGGAAAGGCATCTTAAAATAGCCACTTCAGTGCATTAATTCTCTGAAGACCAACTTGTAAGCAGCTTATGATTTCAATAAGTATAAGTAAAGAGGGTGAAGTATTAAAGTACGTTTTTCTACCTAGCAAAAGGACTTATAAACAGAAACAGGAATTTGGCTTACCGTAACACGAACAGATTGGGAAACCCTAAGAGTTGCCAAAAGCACTTCAAGTATAAGGTTTTGCACCTGGATAGAAATATAAATATATGACTCAAAAAATACATCCATTGGGCAAGTTCAAATTTTGCAGCAACAGGTATATAGAATATGTAACTAAAACAAAATGCAAGTTCAGTTCCAACACACGTCACTATTTTCTGAGCCATGCAAATAATAGCTTTACCAACTAATCATGTTAGGCAATCACTAGATAGAGAAAGAGAGTGTGTATGTTGCAATAAAAAAAGAGAAGCAATCGATTGTAATTAAAGCCAGCAATTGCTATCTTGCATGTCAGATAGCGTTAGCCGTGAAGTTTAAAACTGATGTCTCAAAACAATTACTTCTATTAGAAAATTTAAAATGAATTTACATTTCATGATAATTCAACTCAACAAAGTCTTCTCCACTAGTTTGGATCAGGTATTCAAATCTTTTTTTGAAAGTTTGTATGTGTTGACACAGAACTGAAATTAACATGAAGAGAAGGGAAATGTAAAAAGAGAAACAAAAGGTACCATGAATTCAGCATGCGTTCTAGTTGCTGCAAGATCCCATAAAATGCATCCATATTCTTCCCAAGCCTGTTCCCCCACTGATTCACCCTCTTTGTAACAGGATCCATCATTTCGTCCTTCATGATCAGCAAGTTCACCAAAATCATCAACCTTGTCCATGGCCTCAGTTTCACTGTTTGTGCCATTCAGAACTCTATTTACAGATAAAGAGACTACACTTTCTTCCATTCCATTGGATTTTGATCCTTCAGCAGATGCATCACTAGCATCAACTCCATAAGCGTTGTTACTATTATTACTCAAGTCAGGTGGTAAAAGTTTTCTTATTAAGGATATGATATAACTAGGATCGACTGTTGTTGAGACATCAAATAACTGCAAAAAACAATATAAAACCTTAGTATGAGCAGTTATAACAAATATCTATCTATAGAGTAACCAGACGTGCTCCCGTTTTGAGCGCCCTTTATTATACTTTACTTATCAAAATAAATAAATAAATAACTTGTAAAAAATGCAATATAAATGTATATTTTGTTTAAACAGATGTGACCATTTGTATATTGTTATCATCAATGCATTGTAGGTTCTGTTTGTTTTGATGTAAATTATTTTTCGGAAAACATTTTAGGTATTTTCCGGGGTTTAGTTCTATTTTAAGAATGGTAAAATATTTTTCAGGTAAAACAATTTCCTCCAAAAAATTAAAATTGACACAGTATCAAGTTCAGTAAGTCATTTTTCAAAATCCTCGTCCACAGTCTCAACATATCTCGGCTCTTAACATAGCTGACCTGATTCTCTAGAAGACTGTATATTCCCATAGTCCCTATTGCTCAATGCCAGCAAGCATTTTCTAGTGCCGCTGATTTTTACTGATGCCATTTATCGTCTCCGTGGTTTGGGATCCTAAATCCAATCTTTGAAATTTTTCCAGTTTGTTAAATTTGGGTTTAAGTGTGTTCAGGCTACTGGTTCTTCTCATAATGTAAATATGAAAATTTTATTTGCTGTTTTGGATTCGATTTGATTCAAATAAACTTGATTTATTTTTTTTTTTTTTTTTGATAAGTAAAATAAACTTGATTTAATCAAAGTAACTTCAGTGTTCTATCAAGTCTTTTTTTACCATTTTACATTTGATTCGAAACCGTGACTACATTTTCATTCTTGTATACCTATTGTGCGATAAAATGTCCCACCAATGTATTTCATCTACTCTTTGTGAATTTAGATAAGTTACATGATTTATAATGCTCCATTTGGTTGGAGGGATGGAAAAATGGATGGGAGGGAGAGATATAGATGAGGCATCCCTAGGGAAGGATAAGTGTTTCCCTCACTTTTTGCTTGGTTGAATGGAAGGGATAGTAGAAAAGATAGATGTCATACAATTTTTTTTTTTTTTTTGGTTGGAAGAAAGGGAAGGAGAGTTTTATATTTTTAAAATCATATGCCCTCATTATATGTGAGAGAATTTCAGTAGGGTTTAACAAGTGATTTTGTAAATAATTGAATGTTAAAATTGGTAACAAATTTATAGGGTAGTTATTCATTCTTTCCCTCCTCTCTTCTGCCCAATTTTAGACGGATAAAAGACCATGTGCTAGGAGGGATGGATGAAGCATCCCTCCTTGCTTCTTCCCTCTCTTCCCTTCCTTCCAACCAAACAAGGAAAGCTTCATTTATCCCACCTCTCTTCCATCCTTCTTCAATCATTTCTTCCAACCAAACATGGCATAAATTTTTTTTTCTAGAACCTAACTATCTCTTGAACATTTGTATATAAACAATTTCAAACATACTGATCATAATTTTCAATTAAGAACTTATTTCCCATAAAAAAGCTTCAGGATCTAAAGCCAAACATCGGAAAATGAAAAGAAAAATTTTATTTTATACGCAAAAAAAAATTACATGAAAAATGTTTTACAACAAAAATATTTTACCGAGCCATAATTTGCAGTATCCTAGTGACATAGGAAAATGCAGGCACAATGTGACACAATAAAGCCTAGACAGTCAATTATTTAATTAAATGTGATCAAGCTGAACTTCATAAATGTAATTATGAACAAATGAGGTCATGAGAAATGTGAATTCGAAGTAAATGTGCAAACTACGCATAGAACAAACACACAAAACATTTGACAAGCAGCTGCGTGTGCCAATGACCATAGTCCCTCAATAGTGGTAATGTTCTTGAATGGAATTTTTTCTTCCCACAGAATTATCATCAATTAAATAGTTCAAAGTGAAATGTACATGTGATTTAAGGGAATGAAATCTCATTATCAAAAAAGCAAACCCTAGTTTCAAGAATTATGGAATCAACAGAAATTGGGTAACAGAACACGTAAATACATACATATATATATATACGCACACAATCATAAATGCATAAAACAAATATGCGTATAATGATATAATATGTGTACACGCATCCACTTACCTCGTGAGAAGGAGCAGTAGGGTGATATGCTGGTGCCTGGTTGTCTACAGCTTCTTGTACTTCTTCTGCTTCTTCGTCACCTGCTGGTTCTGATCGAATCGACATGACCGCTGTTGATTATGGGATGAATATTTTCGGTTTGGTGATAGACGCTAAACTAGTTGCCGCCGACAAGCCATGCGTGTACTGTATTTTTATATGTACTGTATTATTTTTTTCTCTCTCTCTTTATTAAATACGAGTAGTATAATATTTTCTTATTTTATCATGTTTTATTTGTTTTCTCTATTTTGTGCTAATGAGTGTTTGTCACTCTCTTTTGACATGTAATTTTTTATTAAAAAATTACACCCATATAAAACAAATAAACAAATTGTAGAATTGAATTAGTTGAAAAATTATTTTATTGAACACGCACACTGTTTAATCAATAAATCAAATCTGTGAAATTTCTCACACTGGCTAAATCGAAACAGACAAATAGTCCAATTGCTTTTGGCAAGCTATTTTCAAAGGATTCTTAAACCGGATGATCAGAATAAATCTCACACTCCAGCTCTAAGGGAACATGAATGGGGCTTAGATCAGAATAAATCTCACACTCTAGCTCTAAGGGGACATACATGTAAGAGTGTTGCGAGGCTCCAAGCCGAGAAGATGTCTGAAAAGTAGGGAGGGATCAAAATCGCCTCCGGTGCTATAGTGATATGTCCCAGCGAGGTAGTAAAATGAATAAAATACAAAGTAAAAATATAGAAGGTAAAAAGCGCATGCTATATTTGGATATTGTCTATTTCTTATACTATACGTATGGCTCCAACAAACAACAATTAAAAAGGCAACAATTGAGTTGTATTTCAATTTTCAAAAGCCGGCCATTTTTTTTAAATTTTCATCTTCTTCACCTCAAATTTGTGACCCATTTTTTTCACACAAACTACAAGCTAAACTTGTGAACTGGTTGATTCTCTTATTTGGATCTGAAGGCAAAGTTGAGGAATTTTGTAAAAATGACCCATTTTTTTCTCTTCACAAACTACAAGCTAAACTTGTTACCTGGTTGATTCTCTTCTTTGGAAGTGAAGGCAAAGTTGAGGAATTTTGTAAAGATTTTCAAGCAACACATTCTCTACAACTAACTGATATTGGGTATGTTTTTTAGTTTTAATTTTTGGAGTCTATTTAATATTCTATCTGTTATTTTGCCCTAATAAAAGTCGGGTATAATATTTGCGATCAACTATTGATTGTAAATACTTGTATGAATTCATATAGTGAAATAAAGTAAAATATGAGATTTTGTGTATAATTCATTAGGTAGGCATGCTAGAACAAAGTTGGGATGTGATAGTCTTAGAAATGGAGATTAATTACATTAACACGTTAGGATGTGCACTCAATATATTTTTTTTGGATTATTCAATTCAAATTAGTTCTACCTTTTTTGCTTTGTATAGTTATAAATGTTAGATTTTTTTGAAGAAATACGTGAATTAATTTGTATGTTGAAATATAAATTTTATTGCTCAGGCATGTTAGAACAGAGTTGGGATGTTGTAGTCTTAGAGATAGGGATTATCCAGAATGACATGTTAGGACGTCCACTTCATACACATTTTGGGAATATTCAATTCAAATCAATTATTCCTTTTTTTGCATTATATAATTAAAAATGTTAGATTTTTTTTAAAAGATACGTGTATCATTCATATGTTGATACGAAGAAGAAAAAAAAAACGGTGATTTTGTATATATTTCATTGCTCAGGCATGTTAGGATAGAGTTGGGATGTGGTATCTTAGAGATGGGGATTATTCACATTGTTGGGACGTCCACTTCATACACTTTTTGGGATTATTCAATTCAAATTAATTTTTTTTTTTTTTGCATTATATAATTATACATGTTAGATTTTTTAAGAAGAGATATATGTATCAATTCACATGTTAAAATGAAGTATAAAAAAAATAAAAAATAAAAATAAAAATAAAAATAAAAGAGGGGGGGGGGGTGATTTTGTTTATATTTTATTGTTTATGCATGTTAGAACTGAGTTGGGATGTGGTAGTCTTAAAGATAGGGATTTTCCAGAATGACATGTTAGGACGTCCACTTCATACACTTTTTGGGATTATTCAATTCAAATCAGTTCTTCCTTTTTTGCGTTATATAATTATAAATGTTAGATTTTTTTTTTAAGAGAAACGTGTATCAATTCATATGTTGAAATGAAATTTAAAAAGAAAAGAAAAAAAAAAAAAAAAAATTTGCATATATTTCATTGGTGAGGCGTGTTAGAATATAGTTGGGATGTTGTTGTCTTAGATATGGGGATTATTCACATTAACCTATTGGAACGTGCTATTTATATACTTATGGGGATTATTCAATTCAAATCAGTTCTTCCTTTTTTTTTAATATTGTATAGTTATAAATGTTGTATTTTTGGAAGAGATGTTTTATGCAGCTCATTGTTAATATATGACTAAACTAAGTTGGGATGTGCAACACTTAAGTGGTCATTGGTGCTCCTATATTTTAAATTTAAGTTATTCCATTATCTTTTCTATTTTCCATTATATACATGCAACAAGTTAGAAAGATGATTGGATTTGGTTTGAATTTCAAGGGTAACACATTATGTTACTTGAATTATGTTGTAGGTTCAAAATTTTATTCCTTTCGATGGAAGATCAAATGATAAATATTAAAGACACAACAAATGCTCCAATTATAGAGCCTCGAGTGAATCAATGGAAACCAAGGTTTAAGATGGAGTTTGATATGGAACAAGAGGCATACGACTTTTATAATGCAAATGGAGGTAGAGTTGGATTTAGTATCCGGAAGGAGTATTTTAATAATTGCCATAAAACTTTTGAAACTTTTAACGAGGTTGTTTATTTGTTGCAAGAAGGGTGTTAGGAAGAATGATAGAAGGGACAAACATACAAAGACTCGGCGAGCTGAAACAAGAACTGGTTGCGGTGCACGAATGCATATTAAATATGATGAAACAAAGGGAAAGTACTTAGTTGATAATTTTATAGATAGTCACAACCATTCCTTGATAATTGATATGCACCCATATGATGTCGTCGCAGAAATGTATTTCTAGCGTCCAAGCCATTGATGTAGACTAGGCTTCGGATTCAGGAATTGTAGCTCGTAATTCATATGAGTTAATGGCAATACAAGTTGGTTGTAAAGAATCAGTTGGATACATTAAGCTGGATCAACAAAATTATATAAGGACCTGAAGACAAAATGAGTTTCAATATGGTGAGGCAACATGGGTCACCAATTATTTTATTAGTCATGCTTGTGATGATCCTTCATTTTTCTATGCTTTACAGTTGGATGCTGAACAGATGATAACCAATATATTCTAGGCAGATCCTAAAATGATAACTGATTATTGCTATTTTGGAAATGTTGTAACTTTCAACACTATGTACAAACTTGTACATGGCAATCGTCCATTTGCATTGTTTTTGGGTATCAATTAACACCGGGAGACGGTTGTATTCAGGGTAGCCCTTATGTATGATGAGATAGCAGATTCTTTTGTGTGGTTATTTGATACGTTTTTTAAAACGATGTCTGGAAAAACACCAAAGACAATTCTGACTATCAAGATGCTGCAATGGCGAAGGCTTTGATGCAGGTAAATTGAGTTAAAATCTCCACTCCTTTTCATTTACTGAAAATACTTGTAATGCCTAATTGATACACTGAAGTGAAGAATGGAATGGCAACCCTCAGTCAGTATATGAAAAAATGTTTATTATTCTAACCTATCCTTTATTGTGATTATGGTTGAAGCATTTATGTACACATGTGGTATAGTTAATTAATGATTTTAATAAGCCTCTATAAGCAAATGTATTTTCTAGTAGTTGGAGAAATTGGAAACAACCAATAATATGATAAAATAAGAATAAAATATATCTTTTATATGTGTTTTCCTACTTTAGCTATAAATTGGTTGTTAGGTTTGATTAAATTTAAATACATTTAATGGCTCATACATGTTGTTAGAACAAAGTTGGAGTTTAAAAATATTACACTGTTTTGGAATATTAAAATTTGGAGTTTAGGATTTATTTCGAATGTCATGACTCAAACATGATTTTATGTTTTAGGTCATGCCTGATACAAAACATCATCTATGTACGTGGCATCTAATGCAAAATGCATAAAAGCATGTTGGGTTCTTGTTTAAATGTGATGCACACATCAAGAATGTGATATCTAAATTAATGTTCAAAATAGAGAATGAACAATTTATGTCAGAATGGGATTCAATGCTAAGGGTGTATGATCTTGTTACTAACACATGGCTTAACTATTTGTTTAGCTTGAGACATAGATGGGCCATGTCATTCGTTAAATATACGTGGTGTGTGGGAATGCGCACTACGCAATTGAGTGAAAGTTTCAATGCTCGCTTGAAGGAGTACTTATCGAGGCAACTCATTCTTCCTGATTTCTTCACTCATTTTGATAGACTATTGTCGGATAAGCATTACAAGGAATATGGAGTATGAAGCTGAGTACGGTTTGCTGTAGAGGCTTCCGCAAGTTAAAACAAAGTGTGACATGTTACCTAAAGCGGGAGAGACATACACAAAAGTTATATTTCAACTTTTTTAGGAGGAGTTTTAACAGCTTGTGTCAGTGATAATGTTAATAGTTGCAGTGACATGGATAACAATAGACAACGTGTTTATAAAGTTACCAGTCGTAATGGGATGCAACGTTGTGTGACTAGAACAGATGAGGAAGAATTATCTTGTTCATGTGGTAATTTGAAATGAATGGATTTTTGTGCAATCATATTTTTAAAATCCTTAAAGATTGCATGAACATCACTGAATTGTCTTCTCAATATATATTAAGAAGGTGGACTAGGAAAGCAAGAGATGGGAACTTGGATGAGATTCTTGCCCGTGAAGTGTTGATGGATCCTAAACTTGAGGTAAGGCGATGACATAGGACCCTTTGTCGTATTTTGACCGAAATATCTTCTGATAAGCACTGAAAAATGCGCATTTAAACCCCTTAAGCTTGAACGTTCTGGTACCTTATCCTATCTTATTTTTCCATTTTAGTCTAATTTCATGTTATTTCCCTTTCCAGGCACTTATCCCTAAAATAAGTTAATTCAGTTGAATTAGAGCATAAAAGATGCACTCTCAAACTCAATGGAAGAAAGGAGCAAAGTGGAAACAAGTTAGTGAAAGAAAGCACTCTTCGATCGATCGGACAAAGCTCAGATTGATCACACAGTGATCGTTCCAACA